CCTGATTGACTGCCATTTTCTTGCAGTTTTTAGCGAAGTGCGCGGCCACTATAATTATTGCACATGATGTTTTTCGCTTAACAATATTCTCGAAGAGTAGGTATCAATGGATTTTCACATATAAATGCACCTGTCCATTGAATCCATTTACTGGCTTTCTCTTCACTCTTCATGCAACTCCCACTTTGCCCTGGGTTGTTCGATTGCCTCGGGTTGAATTTAATTCGTCCAAATCTTCAGAAGTCCCACAATGACTCATTTGTTCTTAAGTTTTCTTTGTTCCCTCACTACTACTTGCATCACTAGGGCTCACTGTTTCCATGCAAATTTGTTTTTTTTTTCGTCAATCTTCATGTTGAACATAAGAAACTTCGTAGAATGCAATCTTTCTTATCACCGAAACCGCACCCTCGAGTCAAATCAGAAAGGCCACGAAAATATGTTCCATGGTTTTTTTGTCCATCTGTTTCTGGCCGAAAGTCGTAAAGCTTCTATCAGTGACATTTGGATCTTTCATGAATGAGTCCCTCGCCATTTTTCACAGCTCTATAAAAAATTTAGACAATTTTTAGATGTAGATACTTCTGATAAAAATATCGAGTTAACGCTGTCCTTGTCTGCCTTTCGATAGAACTAGTATGGACTTCACTCTTTTTGTTCGCTTCTCTCCGGGTGCTTTCTTTAAACATTCTTCTATCTTCATCAAATCTGCGATGTTCCGTTATTGCAGTATTGATCCCTGTGTCTGTCTCGGTCCGCGCTGTCTGGTCCCCTGTGCATGGGGATTCTTTTGATGTGGGCTAAATATTTTCCGGTAATGATGCTTTCTAGTAAGTCATCTATGTCAAGTTCTTCTTTTGCGATCACAACTGATTTTCTGGATATAATCTTCCCATGCAACCGGCGGTTCCTGAGACGATCCGCGACCGAAAACATCTTGGCCGCGATGAGCTTAATTCGTATGCGACTGGCACAATGTGAAAGTACTGCACTTGTACTAATGCACTTGTACAACTGCGCTTGTACTAATGCACTTGTACAACTGCACTTGTACTAATGAACCGTATAATAGCAAAGATAAGACATAAGAGAACCAACTTCAATTCAGTATTTTATGATCCATAATTTGACCTCTACTTCACAACCATAACCCGGGATGACCAAAAGTACTAGTCATACAATTTCCATATATGGAAAAATGCTAGTCATACACTTTCCATACAATTCTATACGTACAGAAAATTGCATGAAAGGTCTATGATTAGTATTTTTTCATATATGGAAATTGTATGACTAGCATTTTTCCATAAACCAAAAATTTTGATTTTTTACATTTAAATTTCTCAAAATTTTTTTGGTTGTGTTCGTAACCGAACACAAATGACATAAGCCTTAATTACTCATCGTAGTAACCAACGGTTTGGCCGTCTCGCATTAAAAATGCATTGGAAACAGTGTGATATTTGTTACTTCTGTCTTACACAAATAATATAACGAAAGTAATGAAATTTTACATTTTGGCGATAATTTTCAAAGATGATTATTTCTAAAATTTGAATTTTTAAATTTTGAAATTGTATGACTAGCATTTTTTTCAAACCATTTTTTTCCTTTTTTTATGAAGAGATACCAAAACAACTATAAAATACCTTTGAAATTTGATTGAACTCATTTTGCAAAAATGTATGAAATTTGTATGACTAGCATTTTTCCATAGACTAAGTGTATGAAATTGTATGATTAGCATTTTCGGTCTATGGAGGTCAACCCGGGAATGTAACCAACTCGTTTCTATGGTAATTCAAATAAAAACAATTTTGGCACGATGACAGCCACATCCTTACAGACCAGTGCCAGCCAATCAATCATTCAAATGTGAAGCACCTAAGGCAATTGAATGTAACCAAAGGCAACTCGTATTGACTTAAAATCAACTAAATAACGCAACTCGTACGAATCGATATCTGGCAAATGGGGCAAAAAATCAACTTCAGGAAATCGGGACGCTTTTGCCCCTGAAGTTAGATTTCGTTTGCCAGAGTGCGGACCTGTTTTTTACTGCATCCAATTTCTGAAAGCCAAACCGATCATTTTTCTGGATGCCTCGTGAGTCATCATGAGCTAATGTTGAGAGGGAGCTGGCGCTTATAAACACGATTTTGGTCAAAGTTTCAAGAAATATCTAAAAGGGAATGTTCCTCGTCTTCATTAAAGTAATGTGAAAAAAATGCGGATATGCTTTGATTTTGTTTTTAAACAGGGCAAAATGTCAAAAATGGTCAACAGAAAAGTTGCAGTTCAAACTTACTTTTCTGGCAGCTTCTCCACACATTCTGACAACACATCAATCTGGTTAGTGGTGGACTGTTTGCTGCTGAGAAACACGACCTTATTGGGCTGAATTCGGTAGGGAGACTCAAGTACCACCAAGCCCACATTGTTCGTCCTGGACAGTTTCGTTAACTCATCTTTCGTATTTGACTGGACTTCTGATTCCAGGTGTTGAAAAATCTGGTTTTGATCAGTGATGAGTCGCCATCTTGCGGCGTAGTTCAGGAATCGATACTTGAGCTTGCATTTTTTGTTGGATTCGTTGATTGGGCTTAGTAAGAGCAGGCTTCCATCGTCGAAACAAATTAGACGAACATCACCTGTAAATGAGCATGAAATACTGTAACCTAAAACGTCTTGTTTGATACTATCAGGCCCCTTAGAGGGGGGGGGGGGGGGCGTTTAAAGAACCATTTGTCATAGTTTGTGGAATCACCCCGATATTTTAGTTATGCCACAGAAACTCATAAAATTTGGAATTCAATGTGAAGAAAACTTTTTAGAACTCACCCTCACTCATTAACATTAAACCCGGCAGCAGTTTTAAAATTGGCACCTTTGGCTCAGATATTTTAGTCTAAAATTCCCCTTTTGATTTTATTTCTTTTCACCAGTGAATTTTGTTTCATTTCTTTAACGCGAGTGTGTACTCCATTTGAGGGGTAGCGCGGATCTAGAGTTTTCTCGCGTAGAAGTCAGACTTTCAAAACTACTCAAAATCTTTACCGATTTTTTGCCCGGACGACACCTCGACAATCCCACAGATTCACCCCTGCCTGGAAGGTGTTTAAATTGTCTGAACACCGGGACAACACATGCTTTTTGGTGAAAATTTTCTAACGGGCGTTTTAAAAATTGTCCAAGTTAATTTTGAGGGGATAACTTAAGAAGTTTTTGGCTCTTAAAATGTACTTTTTGTTTCTTCGTGTTATTAATCCGGATTTATAAAGATTTACACCATGATTATAATTATAAATTAGCCATCCTAAGTTATCGATATGCTAATAATTATGTTCAGTCGTGAAGGCCGTGATTACGTGCTGACCTTCGCGGCAACAGTCAGGCCGTAAAACTTCAACATGAAAGACAATTGTCAATTATTTGTAACGCCAAGTATGAGTTTAGAAGATACCTTTATTCGTTAATTTTTTAATCTCCAGAGTTAAATTAAAACCCATTGATTTGAGACTCCACGAGCAAAAAATCTACACAGAAAAGAGGCTAATGTTGTCTAAGAAAAAATTAAACTTTAAATCGAAACTATTCATGATGACATCCTAAACTGTACTGACTAAAGATAATAATTTTATCAAACCGACAAATATAACGTTTGAACGATATAAATTACTGAGCAGGACACAAAAGGATAGAGAATCCTACGAACAATTTTTTAATCTCCAGAGTTACAATAGTACCCATTGATTTGAGACTCCACGAGCAAAAAATCTACACAGAAAAGAGGCTAATGTTGTCTAAAAAAATTAAACTTTTAATCGAAACTATTCATCATGACATCCTAAATTGTACTGACTAAAGATAATAATTCGGATATCAAGATTTAAAATTCCTTGCGGTTAAATACATGTATTACGTTATTGTGATTTTGTATTTTAGTATCTCTTAGCCTTGACCTTTATTGATTAATCAAGTACCGGTTAACTTTACCGTCTACTCTACGAAGACTACTTCGAGTCACTAGTAGCTCTCTTTAGACTACAATCAGTTTTAATTCACACATTAATTTTATTCCGTTTTAAACTTAGTTAGATAATAAAATTACCAGTGGTAATTATACACTTTTATTATGGCGCAGTCAACAACTCATTCGAATCTGCGGGGAATACCTGCCTTTTGGCTAAACCACAGGGTAGAAGCTCCCACCCAATGGAACAACTGTATAGACCAATTTCACCTGGCTATCATTGCGAATTAAAATCTAGATATAGACAATCTGAAGGAACCATTGGAAGGGGAGACTACGTTACCAATCCTTGAAGGCGCCCAGGAGTCAGAAACTGACCAACAGAGGAAAGCTAGAGAGGCCAGGAATAAAGAGACAATGCGAGTCTACAAACACGCAGAGAAAAAAGACTAGCAGCAGAGAAACGAAAATTCGGAGGAATGAGGAGATATGAGGCCGACAAAAAAGTAAGATCAATCCTATACTTGGCCTTAGGAGCGAAAGGGAAAAGAGTCTTTGCCCAAAAACATCCAAGGGTAAAAGTCCTAGGAATCTCGTTCAAAGAATTTTTCGAACTGCTAGAAGCGGCTTTTATCAAACCGACAAATATAACGTTTGAACGATATAAATTACTGAGCAGGACACAAAAGGATAGAGAATCCTACGAACAATTTTGGGGCGCACTATCAGGTTTAGCAAGATCTTGCGAAATTGGAATCAATGCTGAACAGGAGTGGATCAGATACGTATTTATTTTTAACATAAAAAAATTGTGACTTACAACATAGACTACTTTCGGAAACTCTCAATCCAGTGGATGCACTCAACCAAAACACCATCGACGAAAAAGGCTACTACAACCATCTGAAATTAACAAATATGACTAGATCATTCAACACGACAGGAAGTAGCGGCAGAGTGTACAAAAAGTTTTAATAATGTAAAAAAGGAACCAAGCTTGAACATAGAAAGATCAAACACTTGTATGAAATGCGGGAATGCTTTTACCATGGGTCGTCTGAGTGTGTGTCCGGCGAAAGAAATAGTTTGTAATTTTTGTAAATATAAAGAACATTTCGGAAGACTGTGTAAATCGAAAGGAAGAAAACCCGCTGTTAATACTGTAGAAGAAACTGTAAATAGTCAGAATTGTTCATATTCCCCAGAAGACCTTCAAGCAAGAAGTGAAGAAAATTTTTGCGGTGTGATCAACGCGTGGACCGAAGAGGGGATCAGCGACAACGACGACTATTCCGTTCTTAACATCAGTACCATCTATGATACCACTGGCTTGGAAACCAAGAAATTAGTTAACATCGGACTGGGAGACAATGCGAAAGTTAATCTGAACATTCCAGTGGACTCAGCGAGCCCAGTGAGCTTCCTGAAACAAAACGTTGTACACGAATTGAAGTTGAGAAACCCACAATTGAAAATACACCCAGTAGACAAGAAGACTAGGGAACTATACTGCGGGTTTACCAGTGATACAATCAACATCATCGGGAAAGTGGTAGTGAGAATACAATCCAATGGATAGACCGCGGACGAAACTCCATTTTTTATCACTTCTGGACATCAGAGGAATATCCTGGGAAACGATAATCTACCACAAATCGGAATCGAGATAGCTCAACGACAGCTTCTACTACCCGTCAACAACATAACACTACCAGAGTGTGTAAGTTAAACAATCATTCAGACACAATGCTTAATCTGTATCATAAGTACAAAGGATTATTTAACAGAGTTGGGAAATCAACATTGGACAGAAAAATTACTTATTTCCACTCTCCATTCAAACCAAAGGTAGAAGAGTTCCCCTGCATTTACTAGATAATGTAAAGATGGAATTAAATAGAATGGAAAAAGAGGGGCATATTGTGAAGTTAAACAAATGAGATGAAGACTGTTTTATTGGTCCAATAGCGATTACAAAAAAAAGACGGTAGTATCAAGTTGGCATTACATTCGAAACTACTAAATAACCAGATGTTCAAGAACAAATATCAGATGCCAAACATACACGAGCTTATCGACAACATAGCTCTCCAACTGTCCAGCAAAGATTCAGGGGAAGTTTGGTTTAGTAATCTAGATCTAAAAAATGCGTACAGTCAACAACAATTATGCACAGACACTAGTAAACGGTGTAATTTCAGCATTGTAGGGAGTGAAACCAACGGGACCTAAAGGTTTTTAATGGGTTTTACGGACTAGGCGATAGGCTAAACGAATTCCAGAGGGTGATGGATTCTTTATTGAAAGACATTCATTTTACCAATTGTTATATCGACGACATTTTAATAGCTTCCAAAGGATCATTAAATGAACACAAAGCGATTTTATCAAAAATTTTAAACATCTTGGACAACAAGAATGTGGCGGTAAAATGGGAGAAATGCGCATTTTTCCAAAAAGAAATAGAGTGGCTGGGCTTCAAGATATCAAATTTGGGCGTGTAACTATTGGTGGGAAAATCAAATTCACTAAAAAGCCTTCCAAACCCTATAAACATATCCGAATTAGGGTCATTCTTCGGGTCAATCAACCAATATATGAAATTTGTCCCGAACTTGTCAACTCTAAGTTCCCCCTTACGACAGAGAGACATTCACGTTATTTAACGATAACAAATTGATAGTTCCAGCGGCTCTAAGGTCGCCATTCTTGTCGCTACTACACGAAACGCACCCAGGACAGTTCGGGATGAAATCCTTGGCAGAGATCATTTGGTGGCCACATCTATACAGAGAGATCTATTATCATGGGAAAAACTACATCCATTGCATCAAGGCCGGTAAGAATCTAAAAGTGATATTAGGTACGAACTATACGGAGAAATTACCAATTCTGGTCAAACCAAACGAAGAAGTAGATATAGACTTTGCGGGTCCATTGGACAAAAATTGAGGCAACTCGAAATAAGTTTTGTTAAGCATCGATCGCTTCTCAAAATTTCCGTCAGCGGAGGTAGTGAATAACACCTCGGCTTCTTCGATTTTAGTATTCGATTGTCATCTTCACGGATTTCCAAAGTCTATTAGAGTCGACCATGGGTCATGTTTTACTTCAACGATTTTAGAAACTTCTGCGAGAAGAACAACATTAAATTAATCCTGTGTATTGTCGGGGATCACAAATCCAACGGAGTCGTAGAACGACTCATCTGAAAGACATTAAAGCAAAACTATTGGCAATGTCGTTTAACGATCCAAAATTATCTGTAAATATGGCTATTGATAAAATCATCTGAAATATTCGTTCAACGAAACAATCATCCATTGGATGCTCTCCTTTTTCAAAACATTTTAATAGATCCCCTAACACGTTTTGGAAATCTCTGGTCTCACACGCGATTAGTTTAGATAAGGGGAAGTCAATACTATCAACGAATAGAGCGCAAGACTGGGGAGCAGATGACGCTTTCGGGGATGGCCATCTGGAAAACATAGCGACGGACAAAAGGGGGTATGAGGGCGACCCTTCGGACAAAGTAGACAGAAATTTTCAGCGAGCCCCACTGTCAAACTCTTTCAGCCACGGAGGTAACTGGTTTAGGAGGACAGTTAACCGAAGGGAAGGAGAACCCTACTTTAAACCACTTGGGGGAAAACCATTGTCGGATACGAAACATACGGTTACATCAGACAATGGACACGTGATCAGAAAATCTGACTTAGTTTTTAATAAAATCCAACAGTCGGTCCCCAGTAAATTTTCGGCAGTACCGAATTCGTTAATTAATAACTATGATTTAGCGGGGAAACGAAAGAGAAACTCCCTGTTGAAGAGACCAGACTCAAACGCAGGAGGCCCATCGACGAGTTATAAACCAACTGGAGAAAAGGCAGCTAAAAGGAGTAGAACGAACACCCCGAGCACGAATGGTTCAAAATTCGCGTTTAGTAATTTAGAGTCCTTGCTAGAGTTAGACCTTTGGGATAAAGTTATCGACAATTATTTGGGTACGGACTCGGAAATTGTATATAATACACCGACTTTTAATTTGCAGAGTGATTTAGATCAGTCAAGACGTACCTTACCAAGTCAAACGAATACACAGACGACGATTACTATCCCAACGGGCACAGGCGATGACCCAATTAGAATAGACAGCTCTCCGAAAAGACATTGGAGACGCCCAAAACGCCGGTCTGCAACAAACCTGGGTCAAGAAGGAATGAGGCCCCCCTAATTTTTACGGAGACAGGCGCTTCATTGACCAGGTGACTCTAGGAACAGAGACTAGCGAATTAGTAGATTCCGATGACGAAGCCCTAATAATATTCTCAAGCTCAAAAAGTCTACAGACACAGACAACTTACTCATCGGCGTCCCCATCGGACTATTTGACACCAGTTGAAGATATACCATGGCACCCAACACTGGTGGCGGAAACCACGCAAGGCTCCTTCTCAACACCTACTTCTCTAACAACAACACCTACTTCTCTAACAACAATGGTAGCGAAAATACCATCTCCATTGGTAGAAGTCAGTACGGACATTCAGGACGATGACGGCAGTGACATATCCTCAGGCATAGATACAGATGTTAAGGAGGGCGGCCGATAGTTTCCATGATAGATTTAACGCCACATATTAAAACTCTGAAAACTTTTAAACTCTCGTAGCACAATTTTGGCGCTGACATATTATTATTTTTTTCATTATCTCGAGCTTATCTCCAGTGGATTACTCATTTTACGTATCTGTACTAACTCTCAAATTGAGCGATTTTGTACATTTTTATTTAGTTAGTTATGTAGGTTAGCTTGTTTTATTTGTAGAAATGTCACATAACCCCAATTGTACATATCATTTTGTCAACTGTACAGTCGCTGTAGATATCTGTGTAATCTTGTAGGTAGCCTGTATATATTACCATATAATCACCTCCATTGTAATTTGTACTCTCTGTTAATTTCCATTGTTGCTAAACGCTGTTACTTTTTGTTTCAAATTTGGCTCTGGTGGAGTGAGGGGAGAATGGAGTATATGTGTGATATTGGCTACATTGGGGAGCGGGCAGATATAATTTTTTGTGCAGTGGGGAATGTTGTGATTTAGTATTTTAGTATCTCTTAACCTTGACCTTTATTGATTAATCAAGTACCGGTTAACGTCTACTCTACGAAGTCCAGTGGACTTCGAGTCACTAGTTGCTCTTTTTAGACTACAGTCAGTTTTAATTTACACGTTAATTTTATTCCGTTTTAAACTTAGTTAGATAATCTAATTACCAGTGGTAATTATACACTTTTATTATCCGTTTCCATCATCTTTTTTGAATTTGCGCCGAGTTCGCACTTGATTACATCGATTGAAAACCCAAACTAAAAATAATACAGTTAGCCAGGAAAAAAGTAAAAATTGCACAGAAAGCATAGGAATCATCCGTGTTCCTACGAAAATACAAAACGCAGGTAGGAAAAAGTCTTAACTTACACCCCACACACTGCTTTGATTCCAAACACACTGTTCGGGTAAGAACCCCGACTACTACGAAACAGCAGGTTCGCGTATGTCCCAAACACAAAATTGATGGAAAATGTTGATCAACACAACTGAGTGATTTCTTTTCCTGCAATTCGGCTAAACCCGATAAGAGCTACCGATTTATCGAAAATTCAGAGGCAAGGGCGTATACAATGTTCGTTAAAAGGATAAAAAGACATTGTACGAAGATAAAGGCAACCAAACAAGCAGGCAAGCAAACACTGGAGCAGAGAACCAGCAAAAATGTAGAAAGTCACAAACCGAGACAACCGAAATAATTCAACATTTAAAAAAGACTAGCAAACACGGGAGTAGCACTTGGGAAAAAATCAGCAGCGAGGATTTACAAACACGTGGCCAGAAACAATGCAAACAGCAAACAAAACAACATGGAAAAAGCACAAGAAGCATCCCAAAACCAAAAGGCGAAATCATCTTTATGGTACCGGTGTCATCAACATGAGACTCCGAAGTTTCATCGTCGTAATAGTAAAACGAAGTACTACCAGAAAAGGCACACAGAAACAAGTTCAACAAGGGTGTCAATTAGGACAAGACCTGGAACCCTGGACTCAAAATTGGGTAACCCTATACCTATTATTTCCAATCAAAACGACAAAAGAAAAAGACACGAGACACCCAAATCGCCATCAAACCTACAATGCAAGCGCCATCCCCAAAGAGCTAGTACGCGCAACGGCTGAGCAAAAAGGGCACATAGACAAGACAGAAGTGAAGGTCTGCCTGCAGTTTTTGAGGGAATCGAAATTAGAATAATCCAAAACGAAACTACAGAAGGACTCTGAAACTGTCAAAATCTCATCGGACAGGACAAAATATCGGACAGGAAACACATCAAAGCCGAAATGATCAAGAAAAACCAGGAATCAGAAAGGGGCAACTGGACGAAAACAACACGAAGTCACCAGAGGTAGAACCAGTCCAAGGAAACGGAAAACCAGAGGAGGAAAAGAAATCAGACCGCCAAGGGAGAGACTGCAGTGCGAGGAAAACTCAACAAGAGATGAAGTGAGAAAAAGAGGAATATAAGAAGAGTAAAGCTGATTAGACTGAACAAAGTTTTGAGCTAAACCGGGGAGTGTCATCCATCCGGATTTATATCGATTTATACCATGATTTTATTTATAAATAAGCCATCATAAGCTATCGATGATGCTAATCATTTATGTTCAGCCTTGAAGTCCATGATTGTGTGGTGAACTTTGCGGAAACAGAGAAGCGCCTTAAAATTTCACCTTGGAAGCGAGACTGCTGTCTATGATTTGTTGCGCCAAGTTTGAGTTTCGAATATACCTTCATTTGATGTCTCTTTAGCTCTAAAGTTATATTGATACCCATTGATTAAAGACTCCAGAAGGAGGTAATCTAGAATCAAAGGAGGCTAATGTTGACTAGAAAAAAAAAAGAAAAATCTTTTCGAAACATGTTTGGGATTGTCACCCAAAAACTGATATCTTAAATAGTACTGACTAAAGATAATCATTGGGATATCAAAACTTTTGAGCTCCTTGTGATTAAGATAATGTACTTATCTTACCGCCATCTTCTCTTAATGTGCACCGAGTTTGCATTTCTTCTCAGCGGATGACGTTTGCATGTAGTTTAGCTGCAATTTTTTTTCAAATGAAATTTAGACTCACATATCTTTTTTACTGAAAATCTGATCGGACTTTTCCCAATGTTCTGGTTTGGCAGCAGTTTAGACCACATTCTGAAGTTGCACTTGTCCAGAAATATCATGACATCTTTTTTCCTACTGGTCAGCGGGTAGTGGGAATTTTTGGACCAATCTGTTTGGGTTTCGATTGTTATTAGCTTGTCTTGGTGAGCTAACTGGGTCCGGAACTTATCACAGTTTGCGGCCAAGTTTTCAACCTTAGTAATTGTTTTTTTGAGGGTGAAATGTAATAACGGGGGGCAATGTTGCTCGTATTTCTTCACAGCATAAAGTAGGATCGGCCATTTGGTCAGCATCTGCATGGGTTTGAGAAGGAAGGCGCTTAGAGGCATCATTTGACACTTGGGATCCTTCTGAAGTTCTCGCAGGAACAATGACAGTTGAGGGTGCGACTCGATGTCCTAAATTCATCATTGTTGGTGATTTCAAAGTACGCCGCAAGATGAATCCATTAGAAGCATTGAAATCGGCTACAATCGGTTCAAAATGATTGTAGAATTAATTCTCATAAGAAGTGGTAGTAGAATTACTTCTTTATAAGAATTACTTCTTATAAAAATGACTCTAGTACATTGAAATCGGCTACAATCGGTTCAAAATGATTGTAGAATTAATTCTCATAAGAAGTGGTAGTAGAATTACTTCTTTATAAGAATTACTTCTTATAAAAATTCTTCTAGTACATTGCAATCGGCTACAATCGGTTCAAAATGATTGTAGAATTAATTCTCATAAGAAGTGGTAGTAGAATTACTTCTTTTTAAGAATTATTTCTTATAAAAATGATTCTAGTACATTGCAATCGGCTGCAATCGGTTCAAAATGATTGTAGAATTAATTCTGATAAGAAGTGGTAGTAGAATTACTTCTTATAAGAATTACTTCTTATAAAAATTCTTCTAGTACATTGCAATCGGCTACAATCGGTTCAAAATGATTGTAGAATTACTTCTCATAAGAAGTGGTGGTAGAATTACTTCTTTATAAGAATTACTTCCTATAAAAATTCTTCTAGTACATTGAAATCGGCTACAATCGGTTCAAAATGATTGTAGAATTAATTCTCATAAGAAGTGGTAGTAGAATTACTTCTTATAAGAATTACTTCTTATAAAAAATCTTCTAGTACATTGAAATTGGCTACAATCGGTTCAAAATGATTTTAGAATTAATTCTCATAAGAAGTGGTGGTAGAATTACTTCTTTATAAGAATTACTTCTTATAAAAAAGATTATAGTACATTGCAATCGGCTACAATCGGTTCAAAATGATTGTAGAATTAATTCTCATGAGAAGTGGTAGTAGAATTACTTCTTATAAGAATTACTTCTTATAAAAATGATTCTAGTACATTGCAATCGGCTGCAATCGGTTCAAAATGATTGTAGAATTAATTCTCATAAGAAGTGGTAGTAGAATTACTATTATAAAAATTACTTCTTATAAAAATGATTCTAGTACATTGAAATCGGCTACAATCGGTTCAAAATGATTGTAGAATTAATTCTCATGAGAAGTGGTAGTAGAATTACTTCTTTATAAGAATTACTTCTTATAAAAATTCTTCTAGTACATTGCAATCGGCTACAATCAGTTCAAAATGATTTTAGAATTAATTCTCATAAGAAGTGGTGGTAGAATTACTTCTTTATAAGAATTATTTCTTATAAAAATGATTCTAGTACATTGCAATCGGCTACAATCGGTTCAAAATGATTGTAGAATTAATTCTCATAAGAAGTGGTAGTAGAATTATTTTTATAAGAATTACTTCTTATAAAAATTCTTCTAGTACATTGAAATCGGCTACAATCGGTTCAAAATGATTGTAGAATTAATTCTCATAAGAAGTGGTAGTAGAATTACTTCTTATAAGAATTACTTCTTATAAAAAATCTTCTATTACATTGAAATTGGCTACAATCGGTTCAAAATGATTTTAGAATTAATTCTCATAAGAAGTGGTGGTAGAATTACTTCTTTAAAAGAATTACTTCTTATAAAAATGATTCTAGTACATTGCAATCGGCTACAATCGGTTCAAAATGATTGTAGAATTAATTCTCATGTGAAGTGGTAGTAGAATTACTTCTTATAAGAATTACTTCTTATAAAAATTCTTCTAGTACATTGAAATCGGCTACAATCGGTTCAAAATGATTGTAGAATTAATTCTCATAAGAAGTGGTAGTAGAATTACTTTTTATAAGAATTACTTCTTATAAAAATTCTTCTAGTACATTGCAATCGGCTACAATCGGTTCAAAATGATTGTTGAATTAATTCTCATAAGAAGTGGTAGTAGAATTACTTCTTATAAGAATTACTTCTTATAAAAATTCTTCTAGTACATTGCAATCGGCTACAATCGGTTCAATATGATTGTAGAATTAATTCTCATAAGAAGTGGTAGTAGAAATGTTTCTTTATAAGAATTACTTCTTATAAAAATGATTCTAGTACATTGCAATCGGCTACAATCGGTTCAAAATGATTGAAGAATTAGTTCTCATAAGAAGTGGTAGTAGAATTACTTCTTTATAAGAATTACTTCTTATAAAAATTCTTCTAGTACATTGCAATCGGCTACAATCGGTTCAAAATGATTTTAGAATTAATTCTCATAAGAAGTGGTGGTAGAATTACTTCTTTAAAAGAATTACTTCTTATAAAAATGATTCTAGTACATTGCAATCGGCTACAATCGGTTCAAAATGATTGTAGAATTAATTCTCATGTGAAGTGGTAGTAGAATTACTTCTTATAAGAATTAATTCTTATAAAAATTCTTCTAGTACATTGAAATCGGCTACAATCGGTTCAAAATGATTGTAGAATTAATTCTCATAAGAAGTGGTAGTAGAATTACTTTTTATAAGAATTACTTCTTATAAAAATTCTTTTAGTACATTGCAATCGGCTACAATCGGTTCAAAATGATTGTTGAATTAATTCTCAAAAGAAGTGGTAGTAGAATTACTTCTTATAAGAATTACTTCTTATAAAAATTCTTCTAGTACATTGCAATCGGCTACAATCGTTTCAATATGATTGTAGAATTAATTCTCATAAGAAGTGGTAGTAGAATTGTTTCTTTATAAGAATTACTTCTTATAAAAATGATTCTAGTACATTGCAATCGGCTACAATCGGTTCAAAATGATTGAAGAATTAGTTCTCATAAGAAGTGGTAGTAGAATTACTTCTTTATAAGAATTACTTCTTATAAAAATTCTTCTAGTACATTGCAATCGGCTACAATCGGTTCAAAATGATTGTAGAATTAATTCTCATAAGAAGTGGTAGTAGAATTACTTCTTTATGAGAATTACTTCTTATAAAAATGATTCTAGTACATTGCAATCGGCTACAATCGGTTCAAAATGATTGTAGAATTAATTCTCATAAGAAGTGGTAGTAGAATTACTTCTTTATAAGAATTACTTCTTATAAAAATGATTCTAGTACATTGCAATCGGCTACAATCGGTTCAAAATGATTGTAGATTTAATTCTCATAAGAAGTGGTAGTAGAATTACTTCTTATAAGAATTACTTCTTATAAAAATTCTTCTAGTACATTGCAATCGGCTACAATTGGTTCAAAATGGTTGTAGAATTAATTCTCATAAGAAGTGGTAGTAGAATTACTTCTTTATAAGAATTACTTCTTATAAAAATGATTCTAGTACATTGCAATCGGCTACAATCGGTTCAAAATGATTGTAGAATTAATTCTCATAAGAAGTGGTAGTAGAATTACTTCTTTATAAGAATTACTTCTTATAAAAATGATTCTAGTACATTGCAATCGGCTACAATCGGTTCAAAATGATTGCAGAATTAATTCTCATAAGAAGTGGTAGTATAATTACTTCTTATAAGAATTACTTCTTATAAAAATGATTCTAGTACATTGCAATCGGCTACAATCGGTTCAAAATGATTGTAGATTTAATTCTCATAAGAAGTGGCAGTAGAATTACTTCTTATAAGAATTACTTCTTATAAAAATTCTTCTAGTACATTGCAATCGGCTACAATCGGTTCAAAATGATTGTAGAATTAATTCTCATAAGAAGTGGTAGTAGAATTACTTCTTTATAAGAATTACTTCTTATAAAAATGACTCTAGTACATTGCAATCGGCTGCAATCGGTTCAAAATGATTGTAGAATTAATTCTCATAAGAAGTGCTAGTAGAATTACTTCTTTATAAGAATTACTTCTTATAAAAATTCTTCTAGTACATTGCAATCGGCTACAATCGGTTAAAATTGATTGAAGAATTAATTCTTATAATTTTTAAACCGATCGTCAATTTTCAAAGTCTGTTCTTTTTTCTTATCAAAATCAATAGATTATTTTAAAATTCAGAGAAAACTTCAGTAAAAAATAATTCTTATGCCTACAACTACCCGGGATGGAAAAAAGCTAGCCATCATTTTTCATTATTGAAAAAATGCTTGTTATACCATTCCATGCTATTCCATAGAAAAAAAATTGTATTAAAATAGCATGACTAACATTTTTTAAAGCAATTGTATGACTAGATAGCAATACTCAAAAAAGTAGCATAATTGCGGAATAAACTACGTTTTGAGATGTGTCAAGTGAGTTGTTTTACTTTATTCCCTCAGTATTGTAAAAATAGTGATTTTTCGGATAGATTTAGTTTTTCATGTAATTTTCTCATCGAAAAATAACAATTAAGACATTGTGATTTGCGATTTCTCTGTGTAATAAATCTGGTGGGTGGGTCTAACAGAAATGTTCGTAATTTTTCAAAGAACTTGTTTAGCGACTAAAATGAGAACTAAATATTATTTCTAAATTTTGGAAACTTTGAAAGGAAAAAATACTTATCATACAGTTTTCACTAGTGAAAAGTGTATGGTTAGTTTTTTCCATTCCCTAAAATCAAACATTTGCCAAATAAAAGGTCTCTGATTCAAAAAAACCTGAAAGAAATTTTGAATGGTTTCACAGTTTTTGTTTGTATAGAAAAAAGTTTGCCAAACAGTTTTCATAAAAGGCAATTGTGCGCAAAGCATTTTCTTCACGAACTTCTTTGATGGAATTGTAAGATAAGCATAAGCATAAGTATGGAGGTGTATTTTAATTGAATCCCCGTGTTGACAAAAACTTCTTATCATACAATTTCCATATATGAGAAACTTCTTGTCATACAATTCCATACAATTCCATTCGTACGGAAAATTGTATGAAATCTCTATGATAAAATTTTTTCCATATATGGAAATTGTAAACTAGAAGTTTCCCATATCTGAAAACTGTATGAGTAAAAGTTTGTCATTTATGAAAATTGTATGATTAACACTTTTTAAAATGAAGTGAGACAAAAATTACGTCAAAGACCATCCCATAAAACGTGCAATCTCTGAACAGAGAAGAAAACTTGAAAAATTTGCAGCCGACCATACTACCAGCCGATTTTATTTTTAAAAATTTATCTTAATGCTAATGCAGAGTAAGTTCGGTGAGCAGACAAAATAAGAGCCCGAATCATTTAGGCCGACCAAATATGAACGACACTTGTGAAAATATGAATTAATGAACGACACTTGAGAATAACTTGAAAAGTGAATACACCGCAAAAAGTTTTCGGGGTGCTAGTTAAACCGACAAAACAATAGCAGACAAACTAAAACCCGACTAATCAATTTTTCCCGGAAAAAATTTCAACATCAGACGCTAAGAAAGAGAAGGTCAGGTCGAGAATCGACTACAAACTATAGTTATGAAAGACAATTGCCTTGCCTCCAGCCGAAACATACAAATGTTTTATAAGTTTTTTTTCGGAAGTTTTAAAAAAATTTTGCTTTTATGAAAAAAGTGATTATCATACAAGTTTCAAAAAACAAAAACCTCGAATTTTTCATTCGATATGATAAGCATTTTTTTGATTCCAAAATTTTTTCCTTTTTTTGAAGTCCAAAGCGCTTCTATTGAACAATAAACGCTATTATCTCATTTGAACATTTCTGAAATTTGTTTTCAGAGCATTTCTGATTTTTTTTTACTAGAAAAAGTTCTTATCACACAACTTTCATATATGGGAATTATATGACAAGAGCAATTTTTTCATTCCAATTTGAAATGCTGTTTTTGATGAAAAAAAAACATAAATTGAGCAAAAAACGCTTTTGACTCATATACAGCTTCTTGAAAAACCTTTTCATAAGATTTCTGAAAACTTTATCAATAATGAAAAAAGTGCTTGTCATACAATTTTCATATATGGGAATTGTATGATAAGTGTTTTTTTTTCAAAAAACAAAAACCTCAATTTTTTCATCACCCGACTGTTTTATTAGAATCAAACAGCCGCAAAAATTAGTTTAAACCTTTTTTCTACCATTTTTCAAAATTGTATGAAAATTGTATGACAAGCATTTTTTCTATACACTTGATGTATGGAATTGTATGATAAGCGCTTTTGGTGTATGGAGGTCAACCCGGGTCTATTGTTTTCTCTCTTAACTGAGTGCCGGAGAGCTTGAGTTTCATTTTAGATCTGATATGATGCTTTGACCCTTCTCAAAAAGCGGCTGGTGAGAAGAAGTTATGGCGCCTCAAAATGCTCTGTTGCGGTCAAGTTAAGCATCATAGTAAAACATTTAATGTCATAGTTCGGATTTTGAAATATGTTTCACTCGAGTTCTCTGACTTTCGAGCAAATTATTTTCCAATCAAGCTAAAATGTAGCGAGCCACGAGAGGCAATCTATGCTCAACAGTTAATTAAAAAAAACTGATCGAAATTTGCCGTTTTAAGCTGTCGAACTTAGTCGCTTTCAAAAGTTCAGAATTTCATAAATTTGTTTTTGAGTTACAGGATTTTCTTTCAATAATAGCATAGCAATGGTCTGGTCTGACCCGGTAGAAGACCATTTTTGAATCATAGAGATTAACCTGTAACGCCTTGTTCTGTGACTCCTTATTCGAACAGTAGAACGTGAAGGGCTTCTCGAACAGCTCATCCGCAAACTCCCCCACTACTTTGATGCATGCAGGCTCCATCTGCACATTGTCACCTTGCACCTCCTCCAGTTGACCTATTAGCCGGTCAGTGACCTCTGTAATTGTGGTGATGTTCAGGAAGAGATTCTTGCATATGAATTTGTGAGATGAGGCAAACCTAGAGAACAATTTCTGTTTTTAAGTTATTCTTATCGGAAGTCATCAAAGTTGGCCTTATACGAGCTGTTCTCGGCTCATTGCAACGAACTGCAGCTGACTCTAAAATTTGTGGCCATAGGTGATTTTGAACAAAATGTACGTGTTTTTTTTAAACTGTAACAAGACTGCTCGTATCAGGGCGAGGTCCTGAATGTTCCGACTGCCTTTGAAAGGTCTATGAAGAAGAAACAACATGAAAAAAATAACTGTAAGAAAAAAAATTAAAAGCCATATAAAAAAAAGTGGAAAGCGTCGCTCCTAGTAACAATTCAAACTACGGCAAAAAAGCTTCTTTCAACCAATTTGGAACGATTTCTAAGACGGGTTAAAACTCCTCTTAGTCGTCAAAAGCGCGAAATGTATCGCGCTTTAATTGTCCCAAATTGGCCAGAAGGGCAATTTTTATACATCCATAACTTTTAAAAAAAAGATCACAGGTGAAATATCTTTTCAAATTTAAGCTTAGAACAACAATACTTTTTGAATGATGTAAAAAATTCCTTCAAACACGGCTGGTTATGAAGTCGAAATTTGTCTGAAGAAGCAAAAACCACCCCGAGCAGAAATATTCCGTTATTTCCGCGGAGAACGTCAGAACAACAAGACTGCTGGCATCAAAGTAAAGCCCTGAAAGTTTATACTGCTTTTTATGGTCTATGGTGCAACTTTTGCTTTGAAATTTTTGCTGAGTTTTTTGTATTTTAAAAATTTGTTGAAAAGTTTTGATAATCATCCTCCAAATTTGTTGAAAAGTTTTTAAAAATCATCCTCCAAAAAGCCAATTTAAACAAAGAGTGGTGGATTTAGCTTCTAGTAACGTAGCAATTACGACAAATAGCTTGCTCTAACGCATTTGGAACGATTTCCAAGACAAATTAAAGCTTTGCTTACACGTTAACATCGCGAAATAAATCGCGCGTTAATTGTCCCAATTTGGCAAACTTTTCTCCCAAAAAATTTACAAAAAAATCACAGGTAAAAGGTAAAAAGTCTTTTTAAGTTTGAGCTCAAAACAACAACACTTTTCCAAAGTTATAATAAAACTTTCCGTCAAAAATTGCTTGTTAAAAAGTCGAAATTTGTTCCGACAATTATTCCGTCACTTTATGCGAAAGTCGAAACAACGAGGTTGTTAGAATCAGGGCAAAATCTTAAAAGACTATTTTACGTCAATGACGTTATTTCTCGTTTTTTCAATTTATCCCCCACACTCTATGTAAAGTATAAACTGAAATATAATGACTATGCTGATTCTAGTAACATAATAATAAAGAAAAATTGATGGCTCGCATCTTTTTGTAATGATTCACTTTGCTTTTTTGGATTTATCACAATTATAATTATTGTGGACAAAGTAGTCTCAAGTTCAATCCTTTGTGAAATACAAAAAAATGATCGCAGCCAAAACTTCTTTTCAATTTTGAGCTTTGGCAATAATACACTTTTAATGACAGACATAAACCGCCAAAACGGCCAGCTGAAAGCTTGGAAAAAAATCTTCCCGAGCATAAGTATTTTGTCTTTTAATTCAAAAAATGAAATCTTGAATGTTTGGACTGCTTGAATGTTTGAATGTTTGGAGTGCCTTTTAGGGTCTAAGGAGCATTAAAAACATGAAAAACCTAATTATAATAAAATAAATGATTGTTTTAATATGAGATTTTGTATAAAATTGATCACTCACACGCCATATGAAGTAAAAAGTGATATATATTGCTCCTGGTAACAAAGCAATTATGGCAAATGAGCTTCCCCCAACCAATTTGGAACGATGCTTAAGACGGATTAAATCTCCGCTTACGCGTTAATAGCGCGAAATATACCGATCGTTAATTGTCCCTAATCGGCAAAATTGGCAACCTTTAAACCCCAGTAACTTTACCAAAAATGATCACAGGTGAAATGTCTTTTCAATTTAAGCTCAGGACAACAGTAGCTTTTGAATGATACTCAAAAATTCCGTCAAAAATTGCTAGTTAAAAAGTCGAAGTTTGTCTGAAGAAAAAAAACCCGATCCAGAGCACAAATATTCCGTTACTTGCGGAACAATAATTGTTCCGGCTTTCATTACGAAAATGACGGAATATTTGTATTCGCGGTGGGTTTTTTCTTCTTCAGACAAACTTCGACTTTACAAGCAAGAACTATATTTTTATATCAGCCGAAAGGTATTGTTGTCCTGAGCTCGAATTCGAAAAGATTTTTTACCTGTGATATTCTTTTAATAAAGTTATTGGGCTTTACAGATTGCCATTTTGACCAACTTGGGACAAATAACCGCGATATTTTTCGCGCTATTAACGGAGATTTAATCCCTCATTGAAATCGTTTTAAATTGGTTGAAACAGGCTATTTATCATAATTTCTACGTTACCAGGAGCAAAATCTTATACTTTGTATTTTATATGGCGTGTGGGAGGATGATTAAAAAACACTCAAAATTGTGTAATTTTTTTCTTTTTTTTTCCGAAAATATCATTATTTTTTCTAAAGCTGACACTGCTTCATTCATAGACCTTTAAAAAACTGGAACATTCAGGGCTTTGCCCTAATACGAGCAGTCTTGTTACACTTTTAGAATCAGAATTGGAGGTTAAGTCCATTATATTTAATGTGCATCAGAAAACTTAAAAGTATAATAATCCACTTAAAGTTAATTACAATGAATTATAAAGGATTATAGTGTTGTGAAAAAATAACAAATAAGTTGCAAAATTTGCAGCATTTTGTCAATACTCACGGCTATTTCTAAACCTTAAACCCATCCCACTTTATAATTTTGGCAGACAAGAAAGAATGGGTATCGATTTAAAGGAAGCTTGAAGTGATTTATTTGTGGCTTGTCGCTTTGCTTACTTTTGTTCGAATGGCGTCTTGAAGACATCGGTTATCACACACAGACTCACGTAGAAAGATCGGACGGCCTTAAAAATCTCATAAACAGCCTCGTTCATCTTAATTTGATCTTTGCTCAGTTTCTGCAGAAGGCCACTTTCTACAACTTCGGGCAAATTTTGCCAATACTGGACTATCTGAGGTGGTTTAAAAGCTGCTGCTATTTCGGGTTTGACTTCGGGTTTCTCTACTTTTAGATCACTGGAAGCTCTTGGCGATGGCTCGTCATCCGAATTGGAATCTCCGGACTTATTAGCCGATTCGGAAGAAGCTGAACGCTGATTGGACGACGACTCGGTGGCGTTGTTGTTGCCGTCGATGTCGTCATTGTCGTCCTCGTCTTCTTCCTCTTCTAGAATATCTACTTCTTGCAAAATTGTGCGTCGTCGGTTCTCGGAAATGGCGGGAATCGAACTGAGTCGTTGTCGGAATTTTTCGTCGTCCTCGTCTAAACTGTTCGCTTCGCCACTATCCGCGAACGAAATTTTTAGTGGCATTTTGGAGCCAAAGGCTTTCAACTCACAACTAGTCAATAAAATAAAGCAGATGTCCTATTTTCAAAGTGCCTGTGACACATGCATAAGTAATCAAATGCTTTTGACCATTTTGCCTATTTATTTGATTACTGAATCAAATGAAGAATTTAAAAACCATGAATGGTTATAAATAAACATCTACAATAACTAATAGACTATATTCTAACTCATGCTATATAGTAAGAGAGTATTAAGTTGCAAAAGGCTGACGTTTGTAAAAGTAGACATTGTTTGCTACGATAATGTGAAAATAACCAGTTTTTAAATATCTATTTACTTATAGTAAAAGTAGAAGTCTAGCTTGAGAAAAATAAGACGAAAGACAATTTTGTTTTCAAGTAGAAAGGACCAAATGCTTGCTTTAATTTTGAAGCCACTTAAACACGTGAAGTAAAATGGTATAAAAATGGTAACGTAATAGTTATATGTTGTTTGAATCCAATGGACTTTGCTTGTAATCTTAAGCATTGTATATTATACTTCACAGCCTGACTTTCTTCAGGGAAATAGGTGAAACTTGACTAGGTGGCTTATAATAACAAGAGCAAGACGGTCTTCAGGAGTTTTGGACTACTGCATACTCGCACATTTATTCGATCATTGATTCAAAATATGTGCTGCAAAAATTGAGAATGTGATCAGAGTTGTAGGTTTCTCTACAGCCGATAACGGGTTTTCGAAACTTTTTTGAAAGGTTCTCAAACCGTTTCAATCAGAATTAGATTCAAAAGGGCTTTAATACGATGCCGCCAACTGGCAAACTTGAGATTGAAAATCGATATGAATGATTTTTATACAGATATTATACAGTATATCAATCAATCTACGGTAGCTCCTTTTCTTAGCGGTCAAATAATTTTACAAAAGATGTCCACGGTTTTTTGATCAAATAATTGATTTTTGGCTTAAAAAGATCGAAAAAACTTTCAAAATCCCAAAAAAAAGTCATTTTGAGTTAATTTTAGGGGGTAATACAAAGATCAATTGTCTTGCTGCAAAGTTGTTTCCTGTAATGTCCTGAGAAAATATTCGATTATATTATAATTATAATCGTACTTTTAGCAAAATTATAATTGGTGATAAGATTAAACGATTTTATAATGCATTGTAATAAAAACATTTTTGGTGACATTTTCATAAAAATAATCAATTATAATTTTTCCGAAAATCTTTTTTAATCTCTTATATTCTATTATACACTATTATAATAGATTATATTATAATCCCCTTTTCTATCAAAATATCAAAATAAAAACTCACAGGAAAAATCAATTTTAATTGATTATAATTTAGAAAACACAATAAAAATAAGTAAGACGTAAGAATCACTAAACCAGGGGCGGATCTAGGATTTTTGCGAGTGGGGGGACCTCCTAAGCCCTATAAGGCTTGACAAGATTAATTCAAAGCATTAAAAAGACCCTGTTTTGGTCCTGTTTTGGTCAAATTTTTGAAAGACAAAACGGGTCAAAAAAGCATTTTTAGGCACTCTTTGAAAAAATTTGAACAAAAAATTGCTTTTTTTTCGAAGAGCAACCCCTAAGCAAAAATGGACATCTGAAAATAAGCCGACAAAAATCTGCTACTGGGTTAAAGTTTTGGGAACGAAGTTTTGGAGATGGGGAGACCTTTTGGGTCGGCAGGGGTCGAATCCCCGAGGAGAGTCCCCCCCCCCCCCCGATGCCTTCCCTTCCTAAATCCGCTGGTGGCTATAAGCAAAAAATTACAGTTTCTTTTAGTTCGGTAACCAACTGAAAAGCACACAAAACAAAACAAAAATAAAACGAAATGAAGCGATGACGTTTGTTGAATAATAATGGAATATAATCCATTATAATGGATAATAATTCAAAAAAGTTTGAGATAAAAAATGTTCATAAAACAATCAATTATAAATTTTGTTTCAAAAAATACTAACGTTTTAATCTCTTGTTAATCGATTTTTTTTTGAAATTTATGGAGACTGACAATAAAAGTTCTTTATAATCTATTATTTTCTGTTTTTACTGAGTGCGGGGTGTTACTAATTTTCAGCAAAATTTTGTTCTCAAGTAGAATTTTTGTCACAGTCACTTGGCGAGAATTATTTATTGCAAACCGTAAACTTCAGGGGAATCTTATACGATTTTGATATAATTGGACAATCCTGCATTTTTTTTGAATTTTGGAGTATAAGCTGGCATCAAAGTCTCGAATGAGCTGGCATCAACAAAGCAATCAAATCAACCGTTTCATTACTCAGCTAGCTTTCAAAATTAATGTCTTCGTTAAATAGCGAATTGGTTTCTGGGAATTTGAATCAAAATCCTGATAAAATACAAAAAAGAGTCAAACTAAAAATCACACCAAAACTGACGGTTCAATTGCTGTCAAAGTTACATCAAAGTGAATCTTTTATATCCCAAAGAGCCCACAAGATTTTGAAGTTCTCTAATCTTCTAGAATATACCGTAAAATTGATTTTTTTGGCAATCAAACAAAAATAAATTTGGTTATAAAGATCTGAAAGATAATGCATGTTTTAAGATTTTGCTGAGCGATGAAAAAGGCTCGTTTTGGTAATCTTTGGTTAGCAATTGAATCGGTGCTTTTGGCATGCGCTTCTTGATTGACTGAAAGCCGACAAAAATCTGCTACTGGGTTAAAGTTTTGGGAACGAAGTTTTGGGACCTCAAAAAATGGAATCTTATCAAAGCTGACAAAAACTTAATTAGGTTTTATCTCTATTCTACTTTGTTCGAAGTCAACTCGACTTGAAAAAAAATTTTAATCGCTTCGTCCTGATTCATCAACTCAATACATCAGCTCTGCAAAAAAAATTTTGAAAAAAAACCAGCTTCCTGCGTCACGATTTCGAATAAAAAAAAACCGTAAAGCAAAAACAACTTCTGCACATTTTTGCGTGATCTACTAATTAAAAATTAAAATCTGCCTTGTTTTCTGATGTTATCAAAAAAATACAAGAATTCAAAGAAAAACATGACCGTCTTTGTATGCTCATCAGTTGCAAGATAATTTAGATACAACTTCAGTGCGAGAGCTTTTTTCAGAGAAGCGTAATTTTATTACAAATTAAGCTAAAAAAGATTGAAATTTTTATAATTAATTTTTTCCTGATATTATTCTGAACTATTGATGATGAAAACTTCCTTAATTAAGGGTTCTCAACCTTCTCAGCAACACCCAACATGTATAGAAAACGATCAAGTTATAGAATCAAAGCGCAAGTTTTTAAAGAAAATCTCATGCAACATTCCCACGCTAACTTCCTAATCTGAGAAGCTTGCATGGCCTTAAGCAACAAAAAGCAACCAAAACATGAAATTGCAGGAGAATAAATAAAAACTTCTATGCGAAAATATTTGGTTAAAATTTCTACTCAGATTTACAGCAGCAATGATATTATGGCTTCCGTGACACTTCTACCCGGGTTGATTTGAAAAATGCCTTACATACAACTCCATGAAGTGCTTTTTTCTTTTTTTTTCAGTTCATTTTTAATCTATTGGAACAATTTTTTTGTGTGTTTCACTCCGTATTTTTGGGATTTATGTTAATATACTTTTCTGGTTTTGTTTTTGAAAAAAATTTCATACTTTTGACTTTTGGATTTTTGTATGTAAAATTTGCACATCAAACAGCTTCAATTAAAAGAGAATTGTAAGATAAGCGTTTTTTTTCCGCGCATAAAAAGATTCAAATTTTGACAAACAAATTCAATTAAGAAAAAGTTGCAATAATCTTATTCAAATTTGATTAAATTGCAGTATTCTGTTTGATGGAGACTGACAATAAAAATCCTTTATAATCTATTTTTTTCTGTTTTTACTGAGGTGCGGGGTGTTACTAATTTTCAGCAAAATTTTGTTCTCAAGTAGAATTTTTGTCACAGTCACTTGGCGAGAACTATTTATCGCAAACCATAAACTTCAGGGGAATCTTATACGATTTTGATATAATTGGACAATCCTGCATTTTTTTTGAATTTTGGAGTATAAGCTGGCATCAAAGTCTCGAATGAGCTGGCATCAACAAAGCAATCAAATCAACCGTTTCATTACTCAGCTAGCTTTCAAAATTAATGTCTTCGTTAAAGAGCGAATTGGTTTCTGGGAATTTGAATCAAAATCCTGATAAAATACAAGAAAGAGTCAAACTAAAAATCACACCAAAACTGACGGTTCAATTGCTGTCAAAGTTACATCAAAGTGAATCTCTTATATCCCAAAGAGCCCACCAGATTTTGAAGTTCTCTAATCTTCTAGAATATAGCGTAAAATTGATTTTTTTGGCAATCAAACAAAAATAAATTTGATTATAAAGATCTGAAAGATAATGCATGTTTTAAGATTTTTGCTGAGCGACGAAAAAGATTCGTTTTGGTAAGCTTTGGTAAGCAATTGGATCTGTGCTTTTGGCATGCGCTTCTTGATTGACTGAAAGCCGACAAAAATCTACTACTGGGTTAAATTTTTGGGAACGAAGTTTTGGGACCTCAAAAAATGGAATCTTATCAAAGCTGACAAAAACCTAATTAGGTTTTATCTCTATTCTATTTTGTTCGAAGTCAACTCGACTTGAAAAAAAGTTTTAATCGCTTCGTCCTGATTCATCAACTCAATACATCAGCTCTGCAAAAAAAATTTAAAAAAAAACCAGCATCCTGCGTCACGATTTCGAATAAAAAAAACCGTAAAGCAAAAGCAACTTCTGAACATTTTTGCGTGATCTACTAATCGAAAATTAAAATCTGCCTTGTTTTCTGATGTTATCGAAAAAATACAAGAATTCAAAGAAAAACATGACCGTTTTTGTATGCTCATCAGTTGCAAGATGTTTTAGATACAACTTCAGTGCGAGAGTTTTTTTCAGAGAAGCGTATTTTTATTACAAATTAAGCTAAAAAATAGTTAAATTTTTATAATTAATTTTTTCCTGATATTACTCTGAACTATTGATGATGAAATCTTCCCCAATTAAGGGTTCTCAACCTTCTCAGCAACAACCAACATGTATAGAAAACGATCAAGTTATAGAATCAAAGAGCAAGTTTATAAAGACAATCTCATGCAACATTCCCACGCTAACTTCCTAATCTGAGAAGCTTGCATGGCCTTAAGCAACAAAATGCAACCAAAACATGAAATTGCAGGGGAATAATCAAAAACTTCTATGCGAAAATATTTTGTTAAAATCTCTACTCAGATTTACAGCAGCAGTGATATTATGGCTTCCGTGACATTTCTACCCGGGTTGATTATAAAATGCCTAACATACAACTCCATGCAGTGCTCTTTTG